TAGTAAACACGTCTTCGGAATTCATTACAAGTCTCTCAAAATCAAGAGATTCATTCGTATTTTTATCGCGTCTCTTACGATATCGGAATTTGATAAGATATGTGTGTATTTGACTTACTTCAGAATAAACACGTGAATATGTAATTGCATTAACATGTTAGCAAAAATTAAAAAAAAAACTGTATTCAGAAATTTACAAAAAGTACTGAAAAGTTTACAAAATAGCTGTAAAAGTATTATATTTATTAGACAATAAGAAGTCCGAAAAATATGAAAATTTCAATTTATTTATTTTATAAAAAATGTGGCAACATACAAATAAAGAATTTTTACACAATGGTAATAATAATATATTTAAATTATTTTATTATACAGTTATGTTGTCATATTATTATTTATTAAAATGGATTAAGCAAACTATTATCTTTTATGACGGAAATAGAAATCCGATGTCTATTATATTCTACATAATATTACAAAAATAAAAAGAAAATATGTCGACATATGCTTATACATAGTTTGACGAACGATAAATTATATAAGATCGTAACTTGCCGATCAAACGTCCATAGTGTTACATAACGCTCAAACATTGTGAAGTCATACTTATCGCGTTCTACTCGTCGTTTGAATTATAGTCTTTATGCGTACGGAATTTCATATGACTTCATTTCGCGACCTAATACGAGTAGAATAACAGTGATATTCTGTACTCATTTGGAAAAAAATCTCTCTTAAAATTTTTATATCATAAAATATAATTATCACAGCAATTTATTAATTATGAAACGAAATTATATACATATTTAAAGATTCATTATTTCTAAATAATTATTAATAAAATTACAATGTAAAATTACAGATAAAAATATTGGCATAAAGTCAACTTAAAGGTTAAAGGTAAATTTTTAATTTGATAGACTTGCGTTATTGTTATTCCAATCAAAGGATGATATATGCAATCGGCTTTTCACGATGCTTTACCGGCTGGCTCCATGACAACGTCTGTAGACACCGCGCTCCTTTCTTTGAATTCCTATTAATTCAGCGATATTAATCAAAGAGCGGCTTCTGTCTCGTTATAGTGCAATGAGGGGGGTACGTCATTGTTTTCGGTGAAATTCCCCCTTCCCGATTCAATATCGACATGCCCTGTGACGCAATGCGTTCATTCGCCGTCGCTACACACAAGTGCGTACACGCACGTACACGCACGAGAGAACATACACGTCCATGAGCGATGTATGCAGCTTGTGAAAACTGCGAGGGATGTACGCCGACACGAGAAGGAAGAATCACAAAGGCCGGGCGTCGTCGTCGTCGTCGTTGCGATCGAGCGAAAGCAGGTGCCGACTTCGAAAGAGCCGAAAAGAGTTCGACGTGCTTGTCGACGGGGGATCTTCAATCACCGTCGATGGTAGTGTGCTCGCATAGAACGTATACGCGGCCACATATTTTCCCTCCTCCTCCTCTCTTCCGCTACTCTTCCATTTTTTTTATTGTTGTCTTAGCGACCCTTCACACCGCACAGAGTCGCGCGGAGAATCCTTGTAAAGAGTGAAAAGAGAGAGATGAAATCCAGGGAACAAGAAACAACGAGGATTAAAACGAGAAGAATATATAAAAATAAGGGTCACAAGAAGAAAGTCCAATCGAGAAAATCAAGAAAAAATTATCCTCAAAACGCACTGGCACTAAAGAAACGATGCGAAAACGCAAGGGTAGTCTTATCTTGAAGACGTTAAAAATAAAACTTCGATGAACAATTATTTTCTCTAAAGATTAGATAAACAGTATAAAATTGTTATATATTTCGAAGTGCAAAAAGGAGAGATATCGAAGTAAAATATTTTTTATACACGATCTTCGTCACATTACAAAGTGCAAAGTCGGTGTTTAAATATTCCAAATTGTTTTCTGTCTGGTTGTGCACGAGGTTCCCTTCCTCGCGAGTCCCGAGAACCCTAAGGAGGATAGGCTTGGCTATGTTCCCACCAAGCGCCGCGGGAGCCTCCCGCTATTTTCTTAATCTGGCACCATATAAACCGACGGAACAAACGGACGGCCCGCCGAGTGTGTCCACACATACACACACACACACACACACACACACACACACACACACACACACACACACGACGACGACGACTCGCCTTTTCCCATAACCGCATAGGAAACCGCGAGAAAGTTACCCCCGTAGACGCGCGGATCGCCGTCTACCACCACGGCCAGATGTCACTTCTGCGTGACCCTCAGCGTCTTTTCTTAGCATCTACCCTGCTTTTCCTCCGTCTCTTGTTCTCGCTCCTTCTCCAGTTCATTTTTATTGGCTCCTTCTCCAATTCATTTTTATTTTTATTCCCCCCCGCATCTCCGTCTTTTGCATCACGCGGTGCTCTCCTCAGGTGCTCCGAAGTTATTATCGTCTCTCTCGGCCGACCGGCCATGTTTCTGGAACCTTTGTTCTCCTCGTGGATCAGCCGAGACTATTCGCGGTAAGCGAATTCTTTTCTTCTCCATCACGCTGCAAATCGGCTATCGATGTAAGATAGAGGAAATTTATTTTCCAAAAAGATACCGGTAATACGTACATTAGGAAAATGATTTATTATCTTTTCGTTATTATCATTTCAAATGTTTATCTCACGAAAAGCGTAAAGAATCATCATGGTAAAGACCAACATATATCTATATCAATTATGATAATAGATTATAGATAATATTACAGCAAATTTGAATAACCTGTAATTGATATATGAGATAAATGATATGAATTAAAAATTATTAACAATTTATCTTATTTTTTTATTTCAAATATAATGTTTAAAAAAAGTAACAGCGTTTTAAAATAAGAGAAAAATGCAAAGTTACCTATAGAAATTTCGATACGTATTATGTTCCTACTAGATTAAGTTAATCTCCTGTCTATCGATGCCTCGTGTTGCTAAAGCATGTGGAACAAATTATGCGATTTTTTTTTATCAAGAGAATTCGCGAAATATTATCTAATCGATGCAAGGCTTATCCATTCATCCATTTATACGACAGTATAATTGAGTAGCAAAAAATTATGGAGGTAAATTTTTTATTTCCAAAAATTGAATATGCAAGCCGAAGGATTATCTAGGATTTTCCTTGCGGAAAAAATTGCATATGAAAAATTATAATTAATGACTTGAATACATATTTTAATAAAATTTTTCAATTTTTTTCTAGATCAATTTATAAATTAAATATTATCGAGGCTTGAAGATTTTTCAAAGAATTTTTTTATTCAAATCATAAAAATTGTCTTTAAAATATCTTGGAACGACATTAAAAAAGGTACTTTAAACAATCAGAAAATAATCTCGTTAGTTAAGATTTAAAAATGAGGATAGAAAGTCGCGGACACTCGTGTCGGATCTGAATCATCACGAAAAAAAACAAAGCATCGCGCGAAATAACGAGACGGAGAGGTAGAGAGACGGGTTGCCGAGAAAAAAGGAACGGTACGGTGGCAACTTCCCGAAAAATTAATATCCCGTGGGAAGGAGGGTGCACCGGCTGGTTGGCTCTCGGGGACGCTTCCGCGCTCGGCGGGATGCAAAGGAGCGAGAAAACGATGGATGGTGATGGTGGTGCGGAGAGCAACGAATGGAAAACCAGGAGAAACTTTGTTTTCCAAAGCGATTTTCTCGTACTTCCAACGGGGAAATACTCGGGTCGAAAGGTGGAAAAAACCAAAGAAACGCGTAAAAGAATTAAACGCATCTCACGAATTAAGTTTCCCTAGAAGAAATTCATCTAAGGCGGGATTGGCCACGATCGCCACGGTCGCATTCTCGAACGATCGGCCAGGTAAGATTTAATTGGGCTTGATCGCTTGACCGGATTAATTAATCGGCCGATTACGCCTATCGACGAAGTTTCGGCCTTTCCGCGTTCGTCCTTCTTCGGGCTATTTACTCCGACTGCGCCGGAGGGTATCTCTTTGTTCGCCGTCGGACGATGGCCCGGCTAAATTCTTAAGAGCCTTGTTTGTTGCCTGGTGGACCTTAATTAAAAGTTCCCGCCAATCTGGCTTGCATAATTACGCCCGATATGGGGTATCAACAGCTGGCGTGAGTTGAAGCCACGATTTTCATTGTTCCCAAGGCGATCCGTCGATTTCTTCTCTGAGACCTCTTACGTAATTTACGTAACACGATTAAAGATCATAGTTTTTGTTTTATATCTTCGTTTTATGTTTTTAATGAATTTAACGCATAAATCGATATGAAATACCAACCACCATGAGTATCTTCATCGTAGTTAAGCATAAGAATTTTTGCAAATTTGCAAAATCGCAAAAATACATTTTTTCCTGTCTCAAATCCGCGATCCAAGTGTATTCTTAGAAATATGTGAATATTCTACTGGGATTTTCCGTATTCCTTCAAAGTTATGGGCCACTGGCAAGGAACATCCAAGACGCCCGCCGGTCGTCATAGTAAAGAGGGAAGAATAGGGAGAGGTAACGGAGTACCGGGAGGAGAGGAGGTCTGCGTGGGTTGGAACGTTGGCTGTAGAATTTTGGGAGAATTCTGACGGGGGATTGGTTGCGTCGGAGTGAACTTATGAAACGCCCAACCCTGTTGCCGGTTGTGCCAAGCGAGATATTAAATTTCTGGAATTTTGCGGTTAGGCACGTCTACATGCCGACGGGTCCCTCTCTGTTTCTCTCTCTCTCTCTC